ATATAAACAAAATATTTATATGATTAATAAGAGATTCTTAAAATAAATTTCATAAAAAATAACACATGTATCTTACAAGCAGTAGGGTTTCACCAGTTTGGTTCAATCTGGTCTTGATTTACTCCTGCATTAATCCAATCCAATCCCAGTTTGGATTATAGTCCTATAAATAATAATACAATAACAATATACAATTATAAAAAAAAATTATTAAAGTGTTTATTAAATTTCTATCTATTATTAATGAAATTTTTTCTTTTCTATTTTGTTTCAATTTCTATATCTAACCAACTTTTAAACAAAGACTTGCATGTGCAGTTTCCGGATTAAGTCTATTTCTTTGCTTTGTAATAGTATTACCTGCAATGGAAAAAGCTTGTTCAGCAGAGACAATAGTTGCTTGAATAATCATATAATCTCGAGCTATTTTGCTTAAAATTGGAAAAAAAATTCCTTAAATATGCCACCAAATTAGTGGATCATATTCAATATTTTCAACTATTGGATTATCAATATATCCTAAATATCATTCTACTTTGTTAGAAATTTGTATATTATTTTGTATTGAAAAATTTTGTTTGTTAAGGGAAGCAAAATATTGATTTAAAATTTGAAAAGTAGTTGTGAAATTCAAAATAGACATTAAATATTTTCTGTATTAAATAAGAAACTATAAGAAAGATAAATGGTTTGTAACTCATTTTTAGCATTTTCAGCTTTTAATTTAAAAAAATTTGCTGTCTTATATCTCGGATCTAATACTGTAGTTATTGTTGAAGATGAATCAAGAATGTTCCAATATTTGTTGATTTTTTGTCTAATTGATAAAGCGATCATAATATTATCTATTTTATTGCTATAATTAATATAATCTTCAAGATAGTGTTAAATTCCGTTAAAGACATGTCGAATAAGAACCAATGTTGGATAATTTGTAGCACATAAGAATCAGGTTCTTTTTTCTATAGATTCGAGCAAGGTTATTAATTGACTAATTTTTCTTTATTCTTTACTTGTTGAATACCATTCTTGTAAATTTAATTTACTGAAATCAACATTTATAAAGGTACTTGGATTTCATAAAATTTAATTAACATATTTTAAGTAGAATTCCATCTAACTTTCATATCTATTTCTGGTTTCTTGTATTGTAGATTATGTATTTGACATAAAGCTTATAACTAATTACAAAGTTGTGTTGAATTCTTAAGCTTGCCCATTAATGTTCGAACCTTTTCTATTTCATTACTGATTGATTTTAATCCATATTGTACAGCAAGATTGATTATATAGGCTGCACAATAGTAATGTAAAAATGAAAAATTATTAAATGTTGTAAATAATTCTGTTGCCATTAATCTTCCACATACTATCATCACAGATTCATTGTTTGTTATAAAAGAAATAATTTTTTCTTGCATATTAAATTCTTTTAATAAATTTAATAAAGCTTGTGATAAATTAATACCAGTATAACAAGTAGAGAAAGGAATAATATTTAGCATAAAAGAACTAAGTTTCTATTTTTCATCTAGATAATTAATGGTAATACCCATAAAAGCTTGAGAATTAAGTGTAGATATCCACATATTGGCAGTAAGAGCTATCTTTCCAGGAATTTTTTGAATAAAATCCTTTAATTTCGAACAGAAAACTTGAAATTGGTATTATATCAATTCAGATGTTTGATTGCGGCTCATTGATATATACCGTGGATCAAAAAGTTTAAGCATTTCATGAAAATACTTGTTTTCTGTTATGCAAAAAGATTGTTGATCATGTATAATCCAATGGATAATTGCTTCATGACGTTTTTGTTGTTCTGTGACTTCATATGGTTCAGATTGTCTAGATTGAAGTCTTAAAGCTCTTAATTGAATTGCTGTTTGACCATGCTTTGATTCCAAATGCCATTGTAAAGATGATGTTACAGTTCGTGAACTAAAAGTTAAGTTGCAAAAAAGACACTGTGGATTTCCATTAGAAATTCTGAAAAATTTCCAAACAGGCAAAATTTTTTGCTTTTTGCAAATCTTAATATTTTGAATGGTAATTTGATTAGACATGACGATATTTGGAAATATTTGAGAATCAAAAATTGAAACGTTATCATTATTATATAATTAAAATATCAATTTCAAAATCAATTTAAGTATTATATTATATTATTGTAATAAAATCCTTACTTTATTATAATAAAACTCCTACTTTACTATAATAAACCATTTTTTAATGCAATCTGCAATTTAAGAGTTAAACAATTGGACCAAAATCGAAAGATTTCGGTTATGATGGTTCAAACCAAACCGGTGAAACCCTATACAAGCATATCTTCGTATTGTAAATTAGGAATATTTTGATAATCAAATAATTATTATTTTATTATTTTATTATTTGATCAATTTAATAATAATACTATTTAAAGTTTCCGTGTAACAATACAATAGAATTGTTATTTGTAGCACAAAACGGAAGATCAGACCTTGTCTCCGTAGAGTACCGTGAATTGAATCATTCAGGAGTGACACTATTAAAACTTTTACGAGTCATTCACGTATTTAAATATTTACCGAGATGGAGAGTTATAACACAACATTTTTACCTGATGAACTTAATGGAGTTGTAGTTGAAAAGGATAAGCGTAAGGAATTCGAGTATTATCAAAAATCAGCTGAGATGGGTGATGCAGAGGGAACGTATAATGTTGGATATTGTTATCAAAATGCAATCGGAGTTAAAGGCGATAAATATAAGGCATTTGAATATTATCAAAAATCTGCTGAAATGGGGAATTCTGACGGTGTATTTAAAGTTGGTTATTGTTATTTTCATGGAATCGGAGTTAAAAAGGATGAACATAGGGCATCCGAATATTATCAAAAATCAGCCGAGATGGGTAATGCATCGGGAAATGGCTATTGTTATCAGAATGGAATTGGAGTTGAGAAGGATGACCATAAAGCATTCGAATATTATCAAAAATCAGCTGACATGAGAAATTCTGACGGTGTGTTTAGAGTTGGCGATTGTTATTATGAAGGAATTGGTGTTGAAAAGGATGAACATAAGGCATTCGAATATTATCAAAAATCAGCTGAAATGGGAAATTCTGATGGTGTGTTTAAAGTTGGCTATTGTTATCAACATGAAATTGGAGTTAAAAAGGATGGACATAAGGCATTTGAATATTATAAAAAATCAGCTGAAATGGGAAATTCTGACGGTGTGTTTAAAGTTGGCTATTGTTATCACTATGGAATTGGAGTTAGAAAGGATAAATATCAAGCATTCGAATATTATCAAAAATCAGCTGAGATGAGTAGTAGATTAGGAATATGTGTTGTTGGCCATTGTTATCAACATGGAATTGGAGTTGAGAAGGATGAACATAAGGCATTCGAATATTATCAAAAATTAACTGAAATGGGAAATTCTGACGGTGTGTTTAAAGTTGGTAATTGTTATTTTGAAGGAATTGGAGTTGAAAAGGATGAAAATAAGGCATTCGAATATTATCAAAAATCAGCTGAAATGGGCAATTCATTTGGAACATATTATGTTGGTTATTGTTATCAACATGGAATTGGAGTTGAAAAGGAGGAATGTAAGGCATTCGAATATTATCAAAAATCAGCAGAGATGGGTAATTCATCGGGAACATATTATGTTGGTTATTGCTATCAAAATGGAATCGGAGTTGAAAAGGATGAATATAAGGCATTCAAATATTATCAAAAATCAGCTGAAATGAGAGATTCTGACGGTGTGTTTAAAGTTGGATATTGTTACCAACATGGAATTGGAATTGAGAAGGATGAAAATAAGGCATTCGAATATTATCAAAAATCGGCTGAGATGGGTAATGTATCAGGAAAATATAATGTTGGAAATTGTTATCTTAATGGTGTGGGAGTTAAGAAGGATGAACATGAGGCATTCGAATATTTTCGAAAATCAGCCGATAGGAATAAAGTAGATGGAATGTTTATGGTTGCCACATGTTATAGAAACGGAATCGGAGTTGCGAAAAATTTACAAAAGGCTATGTATTGGTACGAAAGGTAAGGGATTTACTTTAATTTATAATTTTAATTTATAATATTACTTAATGTTAATTGACAATATTTAAATTATTAGGGAAAGAAGTCAATTATTATGTAATTATATTACAATTTCTATTATACTGATTTAATTTATTCAGAATCTAACATTCAAGGCTTTAGTTTTAAACGAAACGATATCTAAAAACACTGATATGGATAATGAACTTAAAAAAATGCTTTCTGAAAGTAACTGTCCGTTAGTTTGGATTCCTTATAAGGAATTTGCGAACATTACAAAGATAGGACAAGGTGGATTTGCGAACGTCTACTATGCCTTATGGGATACTAAACATGTTGCGCTTAAACTACTTCATGGATCAAGAGATCACGGTAAAGAGTTTACAAAAGAGGTAATTTTTATCAAAACTCTAGATGTTATTATTAAAACTTTCTTACCCCTTTTTTACATTGAAGTTAAAAGCATACTGCGATATTGGTCATAAAAATCCTACATTTTTAAAATGCCACGGAGTGTCTAGAGACGATACTTCTAAAGATTACATTCTTGTTATGGATTATTCGTCGATGGGTTCTTTACGTAATAACCTTCGTTCAATATCAAAAACTGTGTGGAAAGATAGGTTGGAATTGTTGATTAGTATTGCATCCAATCTCGAAATAATCCATTCGCAAAATATTATTCATCGAGATTTACATAGTGGCAATATACTGCTAGTTAATTTATACAGTGCATATATTGCAGATTTAGGTCTTTTGATGTTGACCGATACAGAATCCGAAGGAATTTATGGGATCTTACCATACATTGCACCAGAAATTTTTTGTGGCAATTCATATACTCTGGAATCAGACATTTACTCATTTGGCATAATTATGTGGGAAATTTCTTCTGGAAATTCTGCACCTTTTAACCATGAGTTTAGGGTTCAATTTCAAACTCGAGTATGTGACGGATTACGACCAACTATTATTGAAGGTACACCACAGTGTTATGTAGATCTTATGAAAAGATGCTGGGACGGGAATCCAAAGAATCGTCCACCTGCTAAAGAAATTTACAGAAATCTTATAGAATGGGAACATGATACAAAAATTTTAACGGAATTAACTAAGCCTGAAAAATCGGAAAAATCGGATAATTCGGATAATTTGGATGTACAAACATATATCAATGCAATTTATACGAGTGAATTTATTCCTTATATTAAATCACATTGTCAGGGTAAATAATATTATAGTATGTATTTAGTGACTTAACTCTGAACGGGTTGAATTATTATTTATATTATTTTAATTCCGAATTGATATAAGCAGACATGATATTTAATGATTTCTTTTCGTATAATTAAAATATAAAGCTTTTTTCATTTTATAATGTAAGGCTTTAATTATATATAAATGCATTTTCTACTTTCGGATGAAAATAAAAATAAAAAAACATCACTGTATATTGTAGTTAGTGTTCCAAATGAGTCTGGTCGACTCAAAACTCAACCCTATCTCGGGTCAGATCATTTGCTTACGTAATAATTTTTGGTCGAGTCAGAGTCGGGTCGGTTTGACTCTGACTCATTTGACCCGTTCAACCCATTCAATATTTTCAGATCGGTCATTTAAAGTAAAATTATTTTTATGTTTTTTTTTTTATTTAATAATTTTTTATCAAACAATTCTTATAACTATATTAAAAACAATTTTTATTATGAAAAAAAAGCAAAATTTTTTAATATTTTGTGGGTATCGAACGTATGATCGATTTTTATTTTTTTTTACTTGGCCTACTTCCGTGTGCTAATTTACTGGTGATTTTTAGATTTATGCAACAATGAAGTTTTCGAGGTCGATGACATTTTTCATCAATATTCGATGTAATTGGAATAATCGCTAAACCTGAAGCTAAACTTTATTAAATTATAATAATTATTAACATGCATAAAATTTGCAAAATATAAACTTAAAGTCGTACAAATATTAAAATTCTAAACAGTTCAGTTAACCATTATTCCCAATATTTCAAACGCAATGACTTTTCATACAGTTTTGGCTAATAAAAAGACCTAATTACAATATAAATGAACGAACTTGTATGCTAAACTTTACGAATTAGTGGGTGATCTTGCAAACTTGTAAAAGAACTTGATAAGTTTAATGGCATGTTTGACATTACGTAAACTAATGCTGTATAGGTTTTTCTACTTCTTGAATAAATTGTTCGAGGCAAATAATAATTCTGAGAACTGGATAATCAAACTCCTTCAATTATGTTTTACCATTATCTGAATATACCACTCTTCATTCTCCTGTTTAAGCACACCATAATCCCAAACAAATCAAGAATTTGATCGGGGTAACTCTACTTAATATATAAGGTCACTTTGCTCTTCAAATTTTTAGCTTCTAGATCGGTCGCACTGACACTTCTAGTTCGCAAATGGTAAGGATTGCATGCGGCAAATATTCAGATATGACGAATCAGTTTCTCACGATATATTTAATGAACTATTAGGTCCACTAGAAGGGCAATGTTATTACATGTATTCTTTCGTCAAAGAATATCCAGGTTTCTCCCTCTTAGTATTTTGCTGGACTTTAGTTACGAATTGCAAAATATCATTCCTTGATACCCGCATGAAAATTGAGAGAAAAAATTAAACATCTACTACACGGGCTAGAAATCCGATCAGACTTGTCAAAATCAGAATTGAGTTGATACCATAATATTTTCTAAAACAAACAATAATGCATTATCATCATTACATTTCTTCATCTCTTTTTCTCCTCTGCTTCTGCAACCTCCTGTGCCCTTTTTACTTTCACTTTTAAATCTTTTACGGTGTCCCTTTGTGCTTTAATACCAAAATCTTTCGAGTTGATTTTCCCCATAACGATTCTAGCATAATTCTAAAGGATTTGTTGAGACAAAATTAGAGTTAGCAATGTATAAGTTAGTACCAATATAAAAAGAGAAAGACTATTGTATTTTTGCAATTATTAAATTAATTTCCAACCTTAAATAATAAACTCATAGTATTGTTTGATTATTCAATATACAGTACTTGTAATTTCGTTAATGCGGCTAATAGAAAAATCGGAACTAGAGATTTCTAACAGAAAAATAAATTTTTTCGAAAAAAATTGATTGAGGCAAATTTAGAAAGTATTCTGGACCAGCCGGATCAAAATTGTAAATTGTTTCTTAATCACCATAAGAATTACATAAAATAAAAATGTTTGATATCTAACAAAAAAATTACACATGTGACTTCTAATAACCAATTAAATTTTATAACATACTGTATACAGTAACCCGAATCTAAACCGATGATCTTCGGGTCGGGTTTGAGTTGATGATCGACCTAACCCAAACCCAAATCACTACTGTATCAAATGTATCGGGTCAAATCCGAACCCGAGCCGGACTGACTCATTCGGAACACTAATTGCTCTCCAACTAGAACTTGCATCCCAATTATAATCTCTTTCTCATTCAGAGAAGGATAAATTGGCATCAGCAACATATGATAGTGATTACTGTAGCTATAAAACATATGCGCAGGTTAAAATGACCATAGCAAAAAAATACTATACCAGCTTATATTTCTAATGCCAGTCAAAAAATGATTTCACCACTTTCTCATCATCTATTGAACCAAAAATCCGAAGCACAAAATGGGCAAACTCCTTCTCTATTGACATAAAAGCAGTGCAAGTGTATCTGAAATTTCTAGTAGAACTAGTTTGGGTAATCTTATTGTCGATTCTGTGCGGAAAAATGCAGGAAAAAAATATACTTAAATATCTTTTAATTGAATGTATACAGTATATTTAGCCGAAAGCGTGATGCACAACTTAAATAAATTTAAATATTACAATAAGTTTAAAAAATTTAATTAATACAATGAATAAATATGCGTTGGTACACTTTAAATCAAATTTCCGATTTGTAAATATAGACGATTATCAATTAAACCTTTGGAATTTAATCCACTAAAAATTTCAATTTTGTTAAAACCTTTCTAACCTCGATTTGCTATGTAGCACCCATATACTCAGAATAAGCGTCAGATGTCCAAAATGAGAAAGTTATTCAGTGAGTTCGTGTTCATGGCATGCTTCTAATTTAGAACAACTTGACTAACTTGACTATTTTATTGTATGCTAGATATCTAAACACTATGGAACAGTCATCGGAACACATTCAGGTTACTATACAGATGCCTTCTTTGTGGACAGAGACTTTAATTCTTGCATCGACAATATTGGAAGGTAACAGCTTTGTTATCCATTTACAGAAATCAGAAGATAAGTTTAAGATGGAGATTTGCGAAAAGTTAAGGATGATTAAGACAACACGTTTCGTTTCGCCTTTACTACGAAAAAATTTCAATGGACTTGTGGGTTCTTTTTTGTCATTTATTACGTTCTCCTGATGATTAGACGCTTAGTAATCTCGCTCCCTTGACTCTAGCTATAATCTAGTATATTGTAATAGTGATTGGTGAGTCTGTCATTAAGGAAAGTTCAGATTCGCGTAACAATGGTAAGTGTTTTATTTATGGTGAGGTGAAATTGATGTTGGCCAAAAAACTTCTCTCTTTTTTATCAGTGATATGGATCTTTTTATACAATTAGTCCAATAATTACATAATGATTGACAATAAGATAATAAAATCGAAACTAAGAGATTGTGGTGAAACTATTACATAATACTATAGATTGTCATTTGCTGTCATGATATTACATAATTTATTCATCCGACAAGCAAAAACAGGTCACGTGACTTGGTCTGGTCTTTTCTTCGATCATGTTATAATCTTCCATCACATTATTTTACACTTGCATGTGTGCTGTTTGTTATTTTGACATGTTTTATCCGGGTTGGAACTCGTGACACTGTCTGGAGATCATTGTCCATGCAGATCACGTTACCATTGCTTGTGTTACAATATGTATTTCCTAATTTATCAAGAAAAATAGGAAAAAAAAATATATTGTACGATATATTCTTTTTTATTTACAGGTGTTACAAAAAAAATAGCAATTATATTTTTATTTGTAACTTAACAAAAATTATTAAAAAAAATAATAAATTTAAATATAATTAAATTAACATCTATAAAATAGAATTACTTTATTAATTAATTTATTATTTAATTTAATAATTTAATTTTTAATTTTTATTTAATTTCAACCTGTGAGTTTGTAGTGTAATGATTAACACTTCACAAGTCAAATCATAAGATACTAATTCAATCACATGTGAAAACAGTTGAATAGAATTAACATAATATCTGACATCATACCTATACAAACACTATTTCTCATAAAAAGCCATTTCACATGCTAATCCAACAGGTATTGAAATTGTGATTTTTAGAAAAGGTATCATGGCGCAATGATTGTCCAGTTGATGTTACAATAATTGTCAGAAATTGTAAGGTATATGAAATGTTTGCTTTCAATAAGATGACTTGATGATCATTTCCTATGATATCTGGTGTCTCTTTCTGCAAGTTTCCGAAAAGATTTTATTCCAATCCAGTAATAGATTGCTTCAACAGTTACCTATTCCAAGAAAGTAGTCAAAACAGCAATAAGTGCCAATAGCTGAAACAATCTATAAGCAATAAGTCTGTAAGTAAGTTCTTTAAATATTCTTGGATAGCTCTAGAAAGGTAGAAATTAAATAATATGCCTATTTGCAAGTGATCAAGTTTAGAAGAATTTTTCTGCAGTGGTTCTATTCACTAAAAATAAATATTATTTCTAGTTTCCTATACTTTCAAACTTATTCTTAAAATTTTCACAGTATCAAATAAAACAAAATGCTATACAATAGTAACATTAATGAGATTTTGGTATATTAGTCACAGCACAACTCCTTTGAGGTAATACTGAAAGCAACAAGTATCAATATAAAGTAAAATTGATATAATCTAATAATATATAGAATTGTTTATAGATGTTAATTCCTATAATATATGAAATATATATATAAATAAAATAAAAAGGCACGCTTAGGCAAGGTTCAGCTAGTTAACATAAAAAAAAATTTTTTTATTTAATTTCTGTTTAAAAAAAAACAATCTATATTTATTTTTATATAGGTTTTTCTTTTTAAATAAAAGATTTTAAAAAATAAAATAAAAGAATAAAATAATTAATTAATTAATTTTTTAAAATATATATATATATATATATATTAAAATACTAAATTTTTAATTATAAATTTATATATTTTAAAATATAAATTAAAAAAATTTTTTTAAATAAATACTTATTTAATAATTATAAAAATTTCAATTATAAAAAATTTTTTACTATTTTTTTTATAACATTTTATAAATTTGATAAATTTATATTTTGAAATTTGCATTTTAATTAAATTGAGATACATTCATACTTCAATGTTTCTTAAATTTTAAATTTTGTATTATTTCAAACCACAGAATTGAATTATCCTTTTAATTAAGCATAAGTAATCAGTCTATACCAGTACAATTCAAATTTGTGATTAATAAAAAAAATTGCTTTACTGATTATAGATATCCATATGTTTTTGATACTTGAAAAATTTAAATTATTGTTTGTTCAGACAACTTTTTTAAACAGAATAAATATCTAAAAAATAAAAAACTTATCAAATTAACTGGTTTTGAAGAATCACAAATTATTACTAAAATATTTGCCTGTAAAAATGAGAATATACATAAAATTTATTAAGAAAAATATGTAGATCAGGAAATATTTACCACTTATGTCATTTCTACTAATGTTAATGCTATAATTCCCATATCAAATTAGAAGAAGCTTAATAAAGATCTGCCACAAAAGCAATCAGTCGTAATTCAAAGATGGCCAAGAAAAAATAATATCAAAACTGGTCTAGATCTTAGAGAACTGAAAGGAAGAAAAACTATAAATAATTGGAATCTTTTTGATTTGCAACAATTATAGGAACTGATAAAAACCACATATACTTAGAAAAATAGAATAAGCTGCAATAAAATTAATTATATCTAAAGATCTTATAATATAACAAACAATATAATCCAATTTAGTAATAATGATTTTTGCTTAATTTTTAACAGTGATTACATCATATAATCTACTTAAATTATATGAGATATCATATTTTAAAATCATCAAATAAACATGAAAAGGTCCAAGCTCTATAGGAAAAAGATAATTAATATCTCTAAAACAACAGAATCACAATGAAAAAAATATATACACAAGATTGATTAAAAGCTTTAACAAAGTGATATTATATCTTTAATATATATAATAAATATTAATAAGATAGATAATAATAGACATATACAATCAATTCAAGACTCATAAAAGATATTCAAGAAAATTTTAATAACCACAGCCTTTAATCACCTATATTGTAAAAAAAGAACAGCAAAAAAAATAATCAAACTGTGCAAATATAAAAAGAATCAAAGAAAACAATTTATACTTTGTAGCTATAGTTTAATTACAGTTAATTTAACTTTCAAGACCTATTAAAAAAATCCCAGCAAGTTCAAAAATTATAGAATAAATACAATAAAATCAATCAAAGTATAGCTTCAATAGCTTCAATATTCAAATCTACTCAAGAGTTAGCAAGAATCCTAGAAGAAAAAGAAAAAAGAAATATATTAGCTCTCTAATTTAAAAAAATAGACAATTCTTTGAAAGAGATATGTCTTAATAAAAAAAGAAGTGAAATCAATGCAGAAATCAAGCAAGCAATCCAAGAAAGATATAGAAACCTCAAAGAGAATAAAAAAAAAGTAATATAGGACCTGATAAACAATTTTTGTAACAAAATAATTATAAACAGAATCTATATTTAAGATAAATTAGAAAAAAAAATACATATTGTTATACTTGATCTTCGCCCAAGATCATCACTACCCCTGTCCGATTTTCACTAGCATTTATTCTTGAAATGTTACCCATTCTAGAATAATTCTTGTATTACTATTCTTGTTATTGTTTAGTACTGTACTTTTCGTGCTAATGTTGCTCTAGAATATTTTCTAATTTATTTATTTATCTTTATTCTTGTATCTTCGCCA